AGATAATTGTAGGGAGCACAGCAAAGAATATGCTGCAAGCAGTCAAGAATGGCTGCAACCAAATGATGAAAAATGAAAAAAATTGACTAAACAGACCAAGACTAAGCTCCAGAGACAGCCCATTCAGAATATCACTCAGCACAGATCATCCACAAATGGTTCTATTGCTGAGACCAATATACTTATTCTTGGTTTAATTTACTCTGACACTTCAAACAAATGCACAGTGAAATTTTTCCCTAAAAATATGTATATTTTTAATCATTTAACTGAATTGCTCTATAGATCCCTGGGGGTGGCTGAGCTGGGAATGAGGACTCATGAGGACCCATGTTTATGCTTCCCATACACCGTGTTCCAACGAATTGGGATTTTCTTCTCCCCACTCCATTGCCTTGGCTGCCGTCCTGCATGGTTGCATCCCTCTAACATCCTTTGCTGGCTGCAGGCTCACTGTTTACCATCTTCCTTGGGGATGGAAACTGCAAATACAGATTACAAATGGCCTTGTTCATTATTTACTGATGTCTTTTTGCTCCCAGAGGTCGTTGTTCAACTCAAAAAGATGTCTGTGTAAGAGATTTGTCTCTCTGTCAAAGGAAGAGATGTCTTCCTTTGTAAGAGATGCTATTGTCTATTGAAGCAATAAACTGCTCACAGTGTGTCCTAGAGTCTGCTGGTGTTTCTGGTGCTACTGACTGTCTAACTGGGAGCAGATTTATGCTTATTTTGCACATAAAGCCTTCTATACAATAGAGAAGTGAATTTTATTTAGGTATATTTAAGAAGTTAATTGCAAACTGAAGGAAAATTTTCTATAAAACAGGATAAATATATCTCTAAATTTGCTAGTGCTAGATAAGGAGATACATTTTATTGTCTATATTTCTGTCTGCCAGTCAGAAAAGTTTAGGCTCCAAGAAGGACAGGAACTTCCTTATGAAGAAATCATGTTTATGAAAGACATTAGAGATGATGCAAACAAACAAGCAAGCCCTTCAGTACAACTCCTATAAGACTGCCAAGGCAAACACTACTAAAATTTCTGTTTTTTTTTTTTTTATGAAGACTTCAAAGAAGTTTGTTTTCATGAATAATCCTTGGTGCTTTTGGCTGTACAAAGACAAGAGAGTCTTCACGAGGCCTTTCAGCCCAGCTGCTTTGAAGCACTTGGACTGGACTGTGTTTGCCCAGGAGCTCTAAGGAAGCCAAGTGTGCCACAGAGGAGGCAGAGCTGAAGATATGTAGCACATCCTTAAAGATAAAAGCCAGTCTTGAGACTTGAAAAAAGCCCTGGTTAGGCAAAGGTGTCTTTTATTAAATGTCAAAGAAAGGTCATTACAATCTGAGCTTCATCCAAGCAACGAGGATGTGGCCTGGCTCACAGGGGCTGATTACGCCAGCAAAACAGTTTCCCTCATACTAAATAAGTGAAATACTCAGAATAATCAGAGTTTTTTCACTAAATATAGTTGAATGAAATTTGTACATAACACTGTAGTTTCAAGTCTTCTTAGCTTTTGCCAGCAACCAACCTTGTGGTGGGTTAGGGACAGACTTCTCAAACTGTTACTTAGAATAGCTAACAACAAAGCCAAAGACGTTGTCCGCTCCTGTGTGATAAGCTATAAAGAAAATAGTGTTCAGTACAATGTTGCCAAAACATTGATTTTCTGGACTGGTGTAAAGTCAATGAATCTGAAGGATAAAGAAAAACAGAAAAGTTTTTTAAGTTTTCTATTATATTTAGGCTGTTCCTCTATGAGTAAACTGATATGCTTACCTCAGGAAAACTGCCAGAAATCACTAGTTTCTTGGATATTTTTATAATTCATGCTAATCACCCTTTTCAKCAAAGGCTAAAGCTGCAGAAGCAGTTTGATTGAATTATCGATTGCAGTTGTTTAAGCCAAAGAAAGAATATCTGTACAAAGAAGCTTGTTTTATCACACTTAGGATTTGGTAGTCATTTTCTGTACCCAGTGCCAAGTGGCAGATGTATTTAGATTCTTGATTAGGTAATTATGACAACTCTGTCAAAGGAAATCATCTACCTTAAACACTATATTGTGCCATCTTGGTTTTTAGCTCTTATCGAGTTTGGCATTTCACTTTGATTATAAAATGATGATTTCCAGCTACAATCTGTCTTTTTAAATTAAACATTTCAAAATGTTTTTGCTGAAGCACTCAATTTGTCCAATATTGCATYTTCTTGAAGACTTCAGGTTTGAAACAGTGTATTCAGGTCAAAGAAATTAAGAAATAAGAGCAAGTAAAAGAGTGAAGAACTCAGCTCTATTCATCACACCTATACTGCAGTACAGTATATAGTTACTTATATATTTAGTGTATGTATAGTATATAGTATGTGTATATATATAGTGTGTATATATACACAAATATACATATAAAGAGTATAGTTACATACTATATAGACACAATTGGKTTTTGTTTGCTAATTAACATTCTTGCATTTAAAACTCACTCAGATATGCTAGTCAATGAGGAACAAATTGCCCTAACTTTGCAAATAGAGCTGTGGATTTTCCCTAGCCTGAGTCGTGGGCTTCTCTTGAAGACATGGTTGTCCAACTGAAAAAATGGGACACTTCTTCCGCAGCACAGAAGCAATGCTAGCTGCCCTAGCAAAATCTCACACATATCYGTGGCATCAGCTTTCCATTTATAACCACTTTTCTTTTGCTTTTTTTCCCCTCCTCTCCCTGCAGATAGGCATTGTTTTCTTTCACTGTCTTCTACTCAATGCCAGCCCTTTCACACTTCAGTTTGTTTTGGCAGTCAGAACTCTTCTACATTTCTTCCTTTAGTTGATTCCTTCTACTCAGCCTTAAATTATAYGCTCAGAAAAAACCTAGTTCTTGTGCTGGCTTTTCTGTGTTGTTTACATAGTAGATGCAATACAGTGAGAGGGCAGAGTCATTACCAGGGCCAAGCGCTCCCTGAATTCTAGTTTTACACTTTAAAACAGCCAGTAGTTCAATAGTCTGAGTCTGCAGCTTCCATCATAGCATTCCCAGCCACAGAGTGGAAACATGCCAAGCTGAGGCATGTTTCATTTGCTGCTAACACATTAAAAAAAATCTATATTTATTAAAAGAAAACACTGCAGATCCTCTCTCTGGGATATTCTGACATGCTTAAGTTATCTGGGGTACWAATATGATTCCTACTTTAGCAGAACACTGCGGTGATGACACACTCTCTAGGAAACATCCGTTGTTGTGCAGTTTAATCTAACAGGCAGARGCTTGAGTCTCGATAGGCAGAGCTAAAATCCTGAAAATAACAGCAGAATTAATCTCTGCTTATCACATSTTAGCTCAAGGATTTTGCCTCATGCAGTCAAGGACTTGCCATAATTAAAGCTAAATTAAGAAACAGATGAAATAGACTTCACTAAGTAATGCCAAAGAGCTTGTAATAGGGAGTCTTTCCTCTTGAATGAAAGCCCATCTAATTACTGCTCTTCTAAATGTTATCCTGTGCTACCTGCTCTCCCTCCAAGTCCCATTAGTCTGTAGACACTTCCTAGATGCAATAACACATTATTGATGTGTCAGGACCCATGTGGAACAACTTCTTTTCATCCCAAACAAATGGTAACAGCTGATAGTTAGATAATAAGAAGTCAAACTCTTCATACTTGGATTTCATTATATGTTACATAGCCAATCCAAATTCCGTCTGAAAAAAACATTTGAAGGTCTTGACAGACCACTGGTGTACACTCAAATCAGTTTTCTTAAGTCTAAATCTGTATTTAATCTTTAGACAAATTACATGTTGAAATGTACTGTTTTCTATGCTGACCAAGAAAATGAGCTGAAAAATCTTTTTTTGTGTGGTTGTCAACACAAAAATAACTTCTTGTTCCACTGACATAAGAAAACCAAACATGATTTTATTCAGTATTTACACGTCAAGCAGAGAGTTTTTTGAAAAAGAGACATTTTATGAAAAAGTGAGACTGAGAACACTGCAAAGCAGTGCAGAGTATTGATTAGCATCCTTAACCAGCCAGGACAGATGGGTGAAATCCCTGCTGTTACTAAACTACATGTTTGACTCTCACTCTTGCACAGGGGAGCCAGGGAGCAGAGGTAAGAAAGGGGATGAGAAGGAATAGGAAATGAATTCTCTAGTCAGCTGAAGAAATTTCCATTGATCCAACATGTTCCTTCAATAAATAAAACCCTGGGTTTTTCTCTGGCCCTAGCAGTTCCRGAAGGTCACCAGTGCTCACGAGGAGGCAGGGAGCAGGGAGAGRCGGCGTGGGGCAGGCTGGGGAGAGGCAAGAGTGATGGGACCAGGAGGAAGGCAGGATCACACTCATGTGTCTTTGGCAGACATTTACCAAATCCAAATTAATTTCATTTGAAGGATGAGGATGAAAAATAACGGTTATTAGAATTGCTATATTATTAGTTATTAGAATTTCAGAATATTTCAGAATATTTCAGAATATTTAAGGTTGGAAGGGACCTCTACAGATCATCTAGTCCAACCTTCCTGCTCAAGCAGGCACACCTAGAGCATGTGGCACAGGGTGGCATCCAGGCGGGTTTTGAAGACCTCCAGAGTAGGAGACTCCACAACCTCCCTGGGCAAATGGAAATAGAAGAATAGAATGGAATGGAAAGAATGGAATGGAAGAATAGAATGGAAATAGAAGAATAGAAATAAAATAAGTAGAAGGGTAGAATGTAAGATTTAGCATCATATACTTTAGGTGTCTTGATCAGAATATGTTTCTACATTTAAATTAATTTGAGGAGCTTTTTTTWAATAATTTTCTCCTCTATTACATGAACAAAAAGTACAAAGGAAACTGAGGCAGTTGCCATTTCTTCGATATTTCAGATGATGGCAAACTATCCTTCRATGAATTCAAAGCTTACTTTGCCCRTGGAGTTCAGGGTGCAGAAGAACTGCATGAACTTTTCCATGGCATCAATACGCACAAAACTGATTAAATATCCCCTTTTACAACCAAAGTGCTACATCCTTTATCTGAGCAGGCAAACAAGGCACTGCTCTGTTTTTAGAAAACAAGTTTAAGAGGGCACCTGCTTCAAGGAAGCTAAACTGTGCCATGCTGGGCTTCTAAACCTTGTGTGCGTGTCCTCTTGAATGTGCTTTAGGCATTGAGCACATTACACTAGGGAAGAGCAGGTATTGCCCTACTCCAGTCCTTAAATACAAGCTCCTCCTCTTGACTCTTCTTCACTTACCAGGTGTTGAGCAGGGAAAAAGTAGCTGAAGCTACCGCAGAGAGCAAAGCACAGGAAAAGTCACCTGTGCTACTGCTGTCACGGGGACTGAGTCGGTGTCGTCACTTAGGTGCTTTGGATGTCCTGGTTACGGTTGGGTGTAAGGAGGCCACAGCAGSTTGGTGCTAACGGGCTCATTGTTTTTCAGCAGAGCCAAATTTGTGCCACTGCCTCCTCTCCTTGACCTGCACTCCTTACTGACAGTGACTGAAAGATTAAAAAATTCCTTTTATTTGCTTTTTATCCATCACCAATTATTCACGGCAGTTCTTCCATGTACTGTTAATTAGGGAAATCTTACTAATCCACAGCCTTTTAAACTAGACCGTTTCAGTGCTATAAAAACTCCCAAGGGGACATAATTTATTGCCTTTGCAAASAGGTTATGAAGATATCATGTAGCAATCATGGTTTGGATTGTGGTTCAGTTTTAAAGCAGTGAATATGCTGTAAATCTCTTTTGTTTTTCTCAGATGCATGCTGTAAAGAAATGTATGTTAAAGTGCTATTACAGCCCTGCTTCCTATGTTTACTATGCAGAAAAGCTAAGACTAGGTTAACAGCACCTGGCCTTATTTTATCCAGTGCCAGTTTCCACTGCATCCTTGTTTCTTCCTCTACCTCTTCCAGGTAAATAAAAGCAGCACTTTCATACTGCGACTGAACAGCATTCAACACCTGACAAATATCAGATGGTTATAGCGAAGAGAGACAACTTGGACAGTATAATATAAATTACTTGCTTTCCAGCAGAGATCACATGAAGCAGATATAATAAGAAGGCCAAAACTTGACTCACTGGCATTTGCTGAAAAGGGCAGGTTGTGCAAAGGGCCTCCAATTTACTAACTGACTAAGAAATGGAGCAAAACAAAACATTCAGTGAACCCTGGGAAGTTTTATAATGCAAGGATATCTAAACACTCTCTTGCAAACAATCCCCAAACCATATATTATATGGTGCTTCCACTTACAAATTACCCAGGGCAATGAAATGAAAATCCTGGTTTGTGCCTGCAATAATTTATGACTGTTTTATTTTAGGGAAGGATTAGAAACTCTACTTAGTTGGGTGTCTAGCAGCAGGCAGAGGAKATGCTGCCTGCTGTGTCTGGTTAAATACGGGCCATAAACTGTGGACGAATCCCAAATCTGCTGCGTGCTTCGGTCCCCTGCTTACAAAGTGAAGACTGGCTCCTGATCTATCTCGCAGCCGTGCTGTGGGCATTGAGATTAGGCAGCATCCAGACACTGCAGTGATCCATCCCGCAGGGGAATGCCTAGGGATGCTCACTAAGGACTAAGTAGGCCATGATCAGCACCATCACCTCTGGAGGATCTCAAGCTTTCAGAGCCAGTTTGTCACAAGAGCAGACTTTGGGTTGTTTCCAYTTGCTTTATTTTAACTCTGCCAGCTTTCCGACCCTCACTTGGCGTGTGTGTGAGTCTTTGTACTTCAAAGCCAGGAAGATAAAGAAGAGTGGTGGCCTCAGGTGATCTCCGTGGACCATARGCTTGGGAAATCTGGGTTCCATTCCCGGATGTGCCACAGCAAGCTTTCAAAAAGGAATTTGAAGTACAAAAGACTGCCCCTGACTTAATACATTTTAGTGTGCTAAATTAACCAGGTATTAAAAAAAATCCCTGTTACTCAGGTCATAATGTCAATCATGAAAAAGATGATCAGCAGATTTTTAACTTTTACTAAGATMAAGCCAAGCCCGTTTAATGTATATCTGCTACAAAGCATATAGGCTTTGGCAGACTGCTAAAATGAGTAATCACATTTTTCAACGTGATAGCAAGGCAAATCACAGGAAGTTTTACTTTCCAGGAATTGAGGGCTTTTCTACCTAACTGACTGTGATCTCTGCACCTGCCTGTCTGGTGCAGATCTTCTCACAAAGCAAAAGGAGAGGCAGATGCTACTGCAGTGCCAATGATTATCAGGATAAAAGTAATCCTGAAACTAGATACTTGCAGGAGGAACTAGTTACCACTGCACATCATTGCTTCCAAATCATCAGGTGGAACTGGAGATCATGATGGTGGGAAAAAAATGATTGATACTCAGTTGCTCAGATACTCAAAAAGGATGAACTTGGATTTTACAACTTGTCTAGACCCTGAAATGCAGATCATTAAGTCAGAGCAGATCATTGCTTTTATTGGCAATTCATATTAGTTAAAGATTGCATAAATTCCAGTAGAACACAGTATGCAAAAAAATTGCTTGACGGTTTTAACCTCTGTGACTTCTTTTTTTTCCTAATAGAACCAGAAACAAATGTGTAAGCAAATACATAGCAGCTACAAAGATTAATAATGGTGCTATCACTCTACAGGAAATCAGAGTAGGTAAAGTAGTATATCCTTTTAAAGAGAGTGATTTTTTCCCACATTTTAGCCTTACTATGATTTTTATCGTGTTTTACAAGTGTTGTACAATTAAAAGCTGAGAATTAAAAAGATAAACTCTAGACAATTTGAATTACAGAAGGTCTTCTATCTTCTGAACTGTAACACTTTATAGTAAGTAGTTTGTAGAACAATACTATCTGTGCAGAGAGGGGGAAATTTCCCCCATAGGCACACTAATTTGTATTTTTTTGCAGCAGCTTAACGTAGTTTTTTTGCAAAAAAACTCCTAGGACCATGGAGAAAGAAGAGGTGTCTGGACCAGTGGGTTTCTGCAATGACCAAGCAAATCTCAGTCTCCTGTTTGGTAATCAAGTCAGGAGAGACAATAAGGAGAATGGTTATATACAAATTTAACTTGAACAGTGCAGTAAAACAGGCAACTTCAAATTATTTGAATGACTGTGTTTCAAAGGAATTAATGGTGCATAGACAGCAACCTGCTTTGATCAGGCCATTTGCTAGTCTACCTGACAGGCCACTACCCCAAGGTGCCTGCTTTGAGATGCWGCAGTAACGATTCCTCTTTCTTAAATGCTGTTTCCAGTGTTGGCGTTAGTTCAGGCTGAAGCTGAAAGCCTCTTAGGCATTTGACTTAAATTATTTTAAGTCATTTTTGTTTGTACTTTCCATGATTTCATGAAATTTTGGGGCATTCCCTATTCAAATACTGATGAGCAAGTAGCATGAGGAAGTTAAGGCGGGTGCCCACTAAGGTGCTCGCGCGTCACCACTGCACGGGAGAGCTTTATTTCCATGCTGCAGGGATGAATCCCAAGCTGCTCCGGCCCGGGAAGCTGCACAGGCCGCCGCTCCCGATATCCCAACAGGAGGGCTTGGAACATGAGTGCTACAGATGTACGTAGCTACAGCTATACAGAGCTACAGGTGTACATAGCTAGGGGTGTACACAGCTAGGGGTGTACCTAGCTTCCCTCATGTGGGGTGCTTAGCATTTACATCAACTAGAGAGCACGCATGAAACTAGCACCAATGTAGGCAGGGAAGATGCCAGAGTAGGAGCTCTCTTCACCTCCTGTCTTGACAAATATTTGACATGTTCAAAGCAGGAGAGCAAAAGGCAGAGCAAAGTTGTCCTGCAGCCTCAGGCACCRTCTCTTACACGTGTTTCTTCACCTGACTGGATCTTTTCAGGAGCACAAAGCTATTCTGGGGATTAAAAAGTCTTCGAACATGAGTGGCGTTTCTTTGCTTTCAACTTTAGCAACATTAAAGAATGTTTTTSGTGTTGTTTCAATTGCTATTCCAATTCTCGGCCTTTGTTAACCAGTAAATCAAATTGCACAACCTCTCCGAATATGAAGCTCTACTTCTTCCCAAATTTATAAGAAATGAAGTAGCATTTTTTATTGTAAACTTGACATTTAAATACTTTCATAATGTGTGCATCATTTGTACTACCTAGTTTATATCTTGATCTTTCTGTTGGCTCTGTGAGCTCTCTGTATCTGAATTTTCTGTGAGCATCTCCTTCCTAAATCCTGTGTGTGTGTGTGTATGTTCAGGGCAGCTGCCCGGGGGCTGTAATACTGCTGAAGCAGCTCATTAAATTCAGTTATTCCAAGTCAGAAGAGCACTAACTTACGAGCTTATCACGTTTTAAGCAATTAATAGATTGTGTGCATAACATCTGCTCTTACCTAATGCCACACGGCTTGGATGCAAGGCAGCATTGCAGCACAGTTCAGCTTCAGAGGGAACAGTTCTGCATAAATATAGTCTTGTTTACCTGTATTATTGCCTGAATAATAATAGAAAAAGGTATTAGCAACATAGGCCTTTCTGTACATGGATATATTGTTAGAAGTATGCAGGAACGGTTTGAAATTCCCATGTTAAATCTGCCTGTGCTTAATTTTACTGTCAGCTGTGATGAGCCTGTGTTTCAGCACAGTGAGAACCCTTGGAATAAGCAATGGCTCCGTGAGTAGGTTCTAGCAGGCATTGCAAATATAAATCTCCCCTTTTCTCTTACTCTTCCCTCTTCCCCTCCCTGCCATTTAAGACTCCTGTGGAAATTGTTTTTATATAATGGCATCTCCAGGGAAAAGGTGTCAGAAGATAATGAGAATACTTGGCGAAGTTACAAACTGTGATATATGCTGAGGCTCTCGAGGGGATTCAGTCGGCAGCACTTCAAGGGGGAGTGCGATGAACACCGCTCTTGTGAGTCCAGTGGGAAGACAGACTTGCTTTTCTCACCTTCCTTATTGGTAAAACGAAATCCTCAGCCAGAACCTTCATTATAAGGTGGGAAAGATGCTAGGAGTCTAAAGATCTGCAGCCCAGGCAAGCTCCCAAAGGCAGGTATGTGATTAAACCTCTGTGTGAGGCATAAGACAGTGAAGATGTTCCCACCAGAGACATCTGCAGAAGGTGGGCAGGCCTGGTGCAGGAGAAGCAGTTGGACTCGGGTTGGGGGAAGACCCCAGAGCACCTTTATTGGTCCCTTGGCTGGTTTGCTCTTGTTTCAGTCAAAGAGCACGTTTCAGTCTCATGCTGCTTCTGATTTATCACTGTCCAATGCAACTAGAAAAAAATAATTGGGTTCCAAGTACAAAGAAGAAACAAGAAAGATTTTTTAAAAAAACATCATGGAAAAACAGGYTAGTTCTGTAATTAAGTAAACTACAGGTAAGTAAAAAGTATTTTTCCTTAAATTACTCAATGCTCCCCGCCCTCCTTCCCCCCCCCCAAAAAAAAAAAAAAACCAGAAGGGAAATGATACTTTAGATTTTAATCATCCTCTAAAACTGGATTTTTAGGATTAAATGACAGTCTGAGGTACACACAGCACTGACACCAGAAGGGACTGTTTATTGCTATTTAAGAGAAACAACTGCAGTATTTGCTGTAGCTTTCTCACTTCCCAGGAAAGTAACTGCAGAATTTAGTCTGGGAATGAAGTACAGTGGAAAAGGCAAGAAAAGAAGCCAGAATGGGCCAATAGCAGGCTTTACTATTKCGTGACTGCACAGAGCAAGCTTACTGAGAGTGAGTTGCACTGTTTGGATGCTAACACAGACCATCTGCTTGGACAGACACACTGCAAATAGAGTTGCTTGAGCTGATTTTCCATATCAGTGCTTATTTTAACGGGACGTTCCGTTTCCTTCTGACAAAATAAGAATCATTCACACTGGGAAAATCAAAATGAAGTGAGCAGTTTCAACCACACTGACCTAACTGGAGTTGACCCCGAATATTTTATTTCAGATCATTTCGTTGGAAGATTACATTAGTTTCTCTGCAGTGAGCTTATGGCTTAATGTTGGCTGTAGTTTGAAATTTTCTTCCATACATTGAGTTTCCCAGAGAACTGCAGCAGCATCTCTATCAACATGTTGCAAAAGACTATAACAAGACAAAATAAAACACTTTGTTTTGATTGACAAATACATGTTTTATCGTCCTTTAAAAATAATTTTGGAACAAAGACGAGTTGAAATACTGCCATCTCTGGAAAAGTGTGTTCAACATTTTCAGATTATAGCTGCAAGCCAAAGCATCTCTCTAGCATGTAACCTACTGAAGTGATGAACACCATAAACCTGAGTACTGTGTTGCAAAAGCAGCATCCAGTGCACAGGTTGCCCTTCTCCAGTTAAATTCATTCAGATCTTATTTAATTACTTCTGTAGAACCTAGCAGGTAGCTCAGAAATTCCTCTGTGTTGAAGAAGATTTTCTAGGTTCATTTGTGACTGTGTTGTTTGAAGAAACATGTTGTTATTTCTAAGAGAATGATACAATCAGTGACACACAAAATTACTGCGTTCCTGCCTACAGCAGCAAAGAAAATGCTCAGGACAGTGGATTCTTAAGGGGAAGTTGCAAGGGAAAACGGAATTTGACAGAAAGTCCTGCTCTTGATGTCACCTCCACATTCTGCTACAGGCTTCTGAAAGCTGGGTTGCAGATCACTCTGGACAAGAGTTTTCTAATTATTCATGTAGCCAGTTCTAACTGAATTTATTTTGGCACCTGAATCATTTTTACTCAGTTTATTTGCACTGTACTGATAATGATGATCATCTGATGGCCGTCAACTCTGAGAGCTGCTGAGATGCGCTGCGTGGCTGCTGCACCATGGAGGACATTGCAGAGCAGGGCTTGGAGTGGAAGAAATAGATTTTGAGAGGAAATTTGCCCCCGAGTAAACCTGACTTGCTTGCAGTGTTAAAGGCTACACAGTTGTCAAGATTATGTTAAGAAATACAGAATTGTCTTCTACGAAGAAAAGGAATTAGGGCAGATGATGTGCGGTGGCAACCAACTCAGGGCCAACGAACACAGAGAAGGGGTCAAACTCCTGTCTTTTAATGTCATAGTAGTGTGTGACTTCCTTTTGACTCAGGCACCTCTACAACTTTCCAGGTTCAGTCTGAATTTGAGGAGGGAAAGTCGGGACCTGAAAATTTATGATAGGTGGTGGCTGAGAGGTCAGGAAGGTTTGGTCGGTGATGCTGAGGTGATCCGAGATGAACGGCCCTAGGTCTCTCAGACACTGCTATTCCTGTGAGACAGCTTGCTGACCTAAGGGTTAAACTTCTCAGCATCAGCACTGAATTGTACAGACTATGGATTTCACTGTACCTACCGCCAAGGTACCTGGTAAAATCAGATGTAACACCCATTTGAAGCCYTAGTCCATTCAAATGTAAATCAAGTCACTTTTACTTAATGAAAGTTTTAGGAAAACTGAYTTACATCATCAATCTAAAATATTCAGAAGTTTTTATTGCACTGAGAATGCAGGTTTGTTTCAATCCAGGATCCTGTAATTTCTGCCTCTCTCTCTCTCAAACACATCAACAAAACAAAAGCCAGATATAAGAAAGTTAGTGCTATCTAACTGGTGAGTGTCACTAAAATAACAATGTATTTCTAAAAGATAAATTCAAAAAATCCCATAAAAAGATAATTGAAGAAATCCTAAATGCAGTCATTCAATATTCACCCATTAACAAAGTTCAAAATTTTCTTTAATTTTCTTTCATCACCAGTTTCTCCTCTTTCTTGGGAGAAGAAAGAGGATGACTTTCTTAGGAAAAAGAAAAACACTGACTTTCTTGGGCTGTCAGTATGGCAACTTGAACTGAGCTGGAGGTCAACTCATTTATATTTTGACAACCAAGACCTTAACAGAAAATTTTCCTTGAAAGATGATCAAGCTGAAGGTTGTATGAAATGAACATTTTTGAACTTTAATACTTATGTATTTGTAAAACATTGGCATAACAATAAGAACTATTCTTCTCGTATCACCAGTTTTGTTTTTACTTTGTGCTAATGCTGGCAGTGGTGAAACTGCTTCACATGGCCACAACTGCAGAAGAAGATGGTGGTGAGAAACCCACTAGTTCACTAACATGTCCCATTACTGGGTGTTTTCCAGTCTGTCCAGAGAAGCTGTGCCTGGTTCCTCCTGGTAGCCGTGGGAGACTCTGAAACTCAATGTCGTTTTTGAGGAATTGTTAGGAATTTGGTGATTCCATGAATGAATCTAGAGCCTGAATCTCTTGCCATTCTATTACTCCAATAGTTCCTGCTTGGTGGAAGTAAGAAAACTTCCCTCCTTAATCTTGCCTGTACAAAAAGTCTATTTTTTTGAGCCCTACTGTTTACTAGTCTGACACAAATTGTTACTGACCTCACTAACCTTCTGTCATCTTCTTTTTCCAGCAATCTTGGCACAGAAGAGCTCTGTGGTAAGTTTTTTTTGAACAAGAACATAACCTATGCCTGCAAGAGCCCTTGGCAAGAGATCATAACATGTGATAAGACTTTTTTTTTTTTCTGTTTAACTTTCATGGTTGAAAGAGGAAAAATGAAGTTCCCTGGAAAGAACTCCTGGGAGAATGTAGATACAGACTCATAATCTTTCTAATTCTGTTGTCCAAGTTATGCAGAAATTACTGTGAAAATATTTTCCCCTATATTACACGCTCCTCATTGCTTGAGCGTTAAGATCTGTCGTTTCACTGATATGATGAAAAGATGGATACTTTTCTTTTATCTTATTTCACCTTCATGCAAAGCATCTTTTTTTCTAGCTAGTACATTACTTTCAAAGGTATATGTGTTTGGGGAGTTTTGAAAAAGAAAGATYGTTATATTAGCATTTCACTGGCATACACTACTTCTTCCATYCTGGTTTAGTAAGAACAGCATTTTGGCAAGTTCTGTCATCCTTCATCAAGAAAAACTCCTGATAGGCCTAGAAATTGCCCAGTGACCTGTTTCTGTGCCCCATTCTAGGCTATGAATCATGGCACAGCTTCCCTGAAATCCTTTTTTTGCTCTCTAGCTAACTTTATAGCACCTGCTAGCTAATTTTATAGCACCTAATTCAGGAGTGCTGCATGCAATGGAAAAGAATTCACAGAAAAGTTTTGCAAGTGTTYCCCAAAAGGTCAAAAATCAGTTCTACTTGTCAAAGACAGAGTATTTCCCGGTAAAAGACGTCAGCAAGTAATGGTCTGTTGAATTTTTCCAGGCTCAGCAACATGGAAAACTTTTAAAATCTCAAAAACCTCTTAATTTGACAACTCATTTACTTGTTCACAAGGTGGCTCTATCCATAACTAGGAACCCATGGAAGCGTCTCCATCTGTGCCTTAGAAATATACGATGATACAGCTGACATCAACTTTGAAGATAAGTGTGATGACTTTTGCTAGCTGAAAATTTGCTCCAAATTATGCAAATGGGCCAAAGAAAGAAGGATGTTTTGTTGCACAAGTGATTTACTATTACTGGTGTATTTTCTACACCAGAGGCTGATGTGCTTCCCCATCACCCGCTCCACACTGTGAGCTGMGCAAGCAGACCCAAGCAGACTAAARGCTGCTTTAAACAATGTGGGGTCTGAATCTGACATCTACATTTTTTCCTGACTGTTTTGATTAAATATGGGCAGGTTTAGCAGTTCTGATGGTACCTGAGCTCTCCAATTTCCTTGCAATGTTGATGCCAGGGTGTTCCTTTTTTTCTAAATCTGGTACTGAACCCACGTGAGGCAGTTGCTCTGAAGACCAGAAATATGAGACATGCATTTTATCTAGTGTTTATAGAGTTCTTTCTTATTTATGTCCTTCTTTCCAGTAAAATGAAGCCTCATTTCCAGGATACTAATTCACAACATGTTTTCTTTCTAAAGCACTTTATTCAAGATGTGAAGAATGTCAGGTTTTGTAACCAATGCTCCTGAAACCTTATGCTTTCATGGTTCCCCTGGGAAGCTTGCTCTGACCACTTAAAAGCCTCAAAGTATTGCTATTTATTATCTCAGAAGGCTTTGTTCTGCCTGTCATTTAGATGTTATTTTTTTCACATTCTTCTAGATAATCTGATTTCTAAGTGCTTTTTCCAACACAATTTCTATCTTTAACACTGTTTTCTGTCTTATTTTAACTCTTTGGCATCCCTGTGCTTTGCTGTTGTGTTGCATGACCTGAGTTCCACATTCACAAACCTACATTTACACTGTGATTTCCTGCACTTGCCTCCTCTGATAACTGCAACAGGGTGACGTGGCTGCTGCCCCGTCACTCRTTTGTCCCTTGGTTCATTGAGCCCATCTGCAGCAGGAGCAAAGCCCTCTGCTTGATGCAGTCCTTGGCATAGGCAGGTAGAGACAATAAGACTGTCATATCAGAAAGAGAAATGACTGTAAAGGAGAAATATGTGCATTGCTTTAGCAGTATTTTGTCAATGGAGCCTACTTTGCCTGGCAGTAACTCTGAGATATGTCTACAGCTACTCATCCTTCTCGGTTCTACGCAGCTCTGCTTCGTCTCTGAACTATCTCCACAACTTGAAACCCCCCAAAATGCCTCACTGATCCCATTCCAGCTCTTTTCCTCTATTAGGTTTTGTTGATTTAATATCTWCTGTGTTTACAGACAGTGTTACTCTTGTCCCCTGATTAGTATATTCCCTACTATATTAGTATATTCTAATATATATATATTTTTTTCATACAGTATTAACCTTCTCACAATGTGTACCTTTGGGTTTTGTCCATGTGATCCACTCCATAGGAATCTTTCAGTTACACTTTGCATTTACTTTCCTTCTTTTAACAATTTGAAGGATTTAGTAGTGGGATCCCTAAAGTCTGCTAATAAAATAGCAATTGTACTGGCCTTTATGCTGTTCTAGTCCGACACAAATATAAGTAGGATTTGAGTTAATACAATTTTCACACAAAGACTTAATTCCTGTTTATTCTTGATCTACTTTCATGTATGCATTTGGCTTTGACATCATGTATGCATTTGGCTTTGTCCTGGAGAACGGGGGAGGTGCCGGAGGACTGGAAGAAAGCCAACATCACTCCGGTCTTCAAAAAAGGCAAGAAGGAGGACCCGAGTAACTACAGGC